TTGGTTTCACTCGCCAAAGCGACAAATTAAGACTGCCTATTCCATCATCAAATTTGATTAAAAACTCATTGATCTATAATGCAGCTAAAATATATAACCATCTACCGACCAGTCTTAAAGATATCCAATCACCTTATCAGTTCAGGAAATCTGTAAAGCAAGTTCTCATTGACCAGGTGTTTTATAGTGTTCAAGAGTACTTTGATAAAGATATGGATGGAATTCTGAAATAAAATTATTCCCTGTTCAAGCACTGCTTATGTTGATTTTAATAGCTCCTGCAATTTTGAAAACAGTGTCTGTTTATCTTATTTATTTATATATTTTATCTATTGACTTCCTTATTTACCTGTTAATGTCTGACTATTCGTTCATTTAGGATGTATATAAATATGTATGTGTGTGGTATTTATGTGTGTTTATTTATGCATATTCATTTATTTATCTATAATTGTTTTAGCTGTGCACTAAAAATAGTAACCATATTTCAGTATGACACATACATTAAACCAATGTATATGTATAATGTATAATTATTATAGTGAAACTCATTTATACATGATTAGCTTTGTCAACGAGTTTATACTTTGGACAATAAAGCATATTTGATTTGATTTGATTTGAACAGTGTTCCAAGCTTTCAAGAAGCAGCCTTTGCAATTCCAGCGACATGTTTGTGCCAAGACATATTGGTGTCCATTTTAACCCTCAACAAACTAATTGAAGCAAAAAAACGGAATTGTCTGACAACTATTATAATCTTCATGCAGTCATTATTCATTGTGGTACTGGCGTTGAATTTGGTCATTATTACGCCTTGGTCAAAGACGAAACGGACCGGTTTAAGTTTGACGATAGTCGTGTCACTAAGTATTCTGGCGATGTATTTATTGGCGATGTATTTATTGGCGATGTATTTATTGGCGATGTATTTATTGGAGCCTCTGGAGACACCCTACATTTTGTTTTATGAGAGAGATAACATTGGCAGATCAAGATCTGCAGGTTTTTCCGGATTTTCATGCAGCTGAAAAAGCAAATACGTCACTGAAATCAATGAAGTCGTCCCGGAGCGCCAATTAATTTTCGTTGTTGTTTTATAATTTCATCATTTGCATTTTGGAAGTGTTATTCCTTATTAAAATTTGAAATGGAAATTTGTAATGATAACCTACATATAATTTGCGTTTCTTTTTATCGGGCATGTTCAAAATCTTTTTATTTTTGCAGATTAAATTAGGTTGGTCTGACTATTTCTCCATTTCATGTTGTTCATCAAAGAATTCAAACTACCACAAAGTTCTTTGAACGATATCTCCGGTTCATCCGGTATACTCTTGAAGCCGCACTGAAATCCACACATACGCCGTCATCACTACCGAAAAGGACGGGGGACACCGAATCCGATATACAGAGAGAACCGCGAGAGAAATCCCCCCGAAGTAACATCCACGTCTTACCATATAAATGAAGACTCTCACTCTCGAGGCGAAGATTTCGAGTTTAGTTAGCGTGAACACAAGGTAAGATCACACGTTGGCCCGTGTGTTTTGTATATGAGTGGGTGTGTTGGTACTTTCTAGTTCATTCATTGGATTATTCGCGGTGAGTTGTTCGATAATACCGATTTCGATCCGGTAGGTTCGCTGGCTGATCGAGCATCGAGGTCTCTTGGAAGAATACCCAAGAAATATTTCGTGTTATGTAATATAATGTATAGTGTGTATTTTTTTTAAATATNGTTAGAGTAATTATCCTTGCTTGCTCTAATCCTAATCGAACACACCTTTGTCCTGGGTAGTTTGTTAATAATAGTCACTTTTTTCATCTTTAGCCATTGAACCAAGATAAGTAGGTATCTATGTTATCATGGATTCAACTCAATGTATATTTCTCATCATAGTTTCAGCTCTATATATTTCCTTCCTGGCGTTTGGCCAGCATTACTGCCATCGTCTTTCAGGATATTGGTTCCCATTTAGTCTGAGATTTAGTTAGCACTTCCACATACTCGCTCGACAGTTTTATCTCTCCACTTCAGTTCTAAGTTGTCTAGGTTTGATGTCGGTTTTGATATTATTGAGATCAACACACTGATATCTGTTTTCAAGATAGGAGCTGAGGAGACTCAAAATGGTACCTCTTAAACCATAATGACTCAGTTTTTCAATGAGTAATGCATGTGAAACACAATCAAACGCTTTGGTCAAGTCGCATAAAGGCAAGAAAGTGTGCTTGCACTGATCAAGTCCCTCCACTATGTTATTCACCATCTTGTAAACAGCCTGAGTTGTGGATTTGTTTTTCCGAAATCCATATTGGAATTCACTAAAATACAAGCTCGTTTCAAAGTAGGAGTATAATCGCTTTTTTAATAATTTGTCGATGATTTTTCCAATTATGAAGACAATACTAATTGGACGGTAGTTGTTGAAAAACGCCTTCCTTGAAGATTTGATTAATGAGGTTCGTTAATGGCATGACTATTTGTTCAGCAATAGCTTTCATTAAATAGCCATTCAGATCATGTATGTCACGTGAACAAGAATTTCCCAATTTATTGATAATACTCAGTACTTCCTGTGGGCATACCTACTGGTTCTAAAAAGAATGGATCTACAGGGGAAGGAAAATTCCTGACGTCATAGTCTCCTTCAGAAACTACTTGTGGAAGAGATTTTATCGTATCTACAGCTACAGTACAAAAGTGATCCTTGAAATCATTTCCAGAAAATTCTGTTTTAGTTTGACCTTTACTGTATATTTTATTTCTATCCGAGTTGATTATAATCATACAGTTACAACAGACTGAAACCGTTTTAATCACCTTTTCGTATTCATTTAGAAGTACTGAACATCTAAAGGTTGTTTGCTTATATTATTTGGAACAGTTTTCTTCAAAATTATATCCCAATATACATCTTGTATCAGATTCTATCAACAAGGTAGCAGAGTAATCGCGGATATACTAACAGGTGATTGCATTGAAATGTTTCTCCCATCTTTTGATGACATCCATTCAACTAGTTTGGTTAGTTTCCAGCGTACAGTGTACTGATGAATTGCATGTAACAAGCAGCCGTAACTATCCTGAATCGGTCCCTTCTCTGTTTTTATACAGGCTTTCCCTATTATCTTATCTGATGCTTTACGATCAATAATGTTGATACATTCTTAGTTGGGTTAGAACCCCATATATGGAATTGATAATCACTATTAGGCACATTTGTCAGCTTTTTTATTTCTCAGTATGTTTGATAATTGTCTTGAGACCCAGTACGAGGGCGCAGTCAATATGTTCCTGGCCACGAGTTTATTCAGTACTTCATGGCATTCTCTGACCACTCTTGATGTCGCTCTTTTCCCCGTCAATGCCTTGCAGGAGTATACATAAACCGTGAAGTTTGTGTCGATAGTGTACTTCGGTGTCATCTCGTGCGAAAGTTTCCAAAATCTTTATTTCACCTTTCACTTAACTCCTTGAAAATTGGCAAATGTTCCTATTATAATTGGCCCAATGATATCTACCCAAATAATACAAGAGGCAGTGAAGATAGATGCAGAAGTTTCATCAAAGTTTCCAATGCTGCTGTGAGAGTAATTATCCTTGCTTGCTCTAATCCTAATCGAACACACCTTTGTCCTGGGTAGTTTGTTAATAATAGTCACTTTTTTCATCTTTAGCCATTGAACCAAGATAAGTAGGTATCTATGTTATCATGGATTCAACTCAATGTATATTTCTCATCATAGTTTCAGCTCTATATATTTCCTTCCTGGCGTTTGGCCAGCATTACTGCCATCGTCTTTCAACAACCTCGTTTCAAAGTAGGAGTATAATCGCTCTTTTAATAATTTTTCGATGATTTTTCCAATTATGGAGACAATACTAATTGGACGATAGTTGTTTAAAGATGATTTGTTACCTTTTTTAAACAAAGTAATAACTCTGGATATTTGGAGTATGTCTGGAAAAACGCCTTCCTTGAAGATTTGATTAAAGAGGGTCGTTAATGATATGACTATTTGTTCAGCAATAGCTTTCATTAAATAGCCATTCGGATCATGTATGTCACGTGAACTAGAATTTCCTAAGTTATTGATAATACTCAATACTTCCTGTGGGCATACTGGTTCTAAAAAGAATGAATCTACAGGGAAAGGAAAATTCCTGAAGTCATAATCTCCTTCAGAAACTACTTGTGTAAGAGATTTTATCGTATCTACAGTACAAAAGTGATCCTTGAAATCATTTCCAGAAAATTCTGTTTTAGTTTGACCTTTACTGTATATTTTATTTCTACCCGAGTTGATTATATCCCAGCAAGCTTTTGAAGTATTTGAAAAGTTTTTAATATATTCGTCGTAGGCGTGTATAAAAACAGCAGTGGAAAAATATCTTATATATATGTGATTTTTCTTGAGAGGGAAACACAAATTGTATTCTTCATCTTTCCAGAGATATTTATGAACAAGCATGATTCCAAAATTTATACTATTCTGTCCAGAAAAAACGGAAGTTCTTCGATATCGTTTCTTTCAACACTGACATCAATAGTTAATAAACCCCTGTTCTAATTTCTAGACGAAACTAGTTCCAAAGGTTGCATGAAGAATGACTGATTAGATTTCATTCGTGAAAGTAATATTTTTTTACTACAACAGGTCCATTTACGTAGTCTAAAAAAACTGATTTCGATTCATTAATTGTGATCAATAATGATGGCAGTGTTTACGTTATTCCATTAATCAAAATCAACATGAAAAGTCTGATGTTTTGTGATCTGAAGATGAACTTACTGAAAACCGATCAATAAAAAAATACATTTTCTGAGAATTCATCAGTGTGAATAATAGTTCTTTCTCATTCTTTTTTTTTCAGTTAAATGAAGATTCAGTAAATAACTCTTTATTAATAGACATGTCCTTTTTCACAACAATATGTAGAGATTAGTTTCGAAGTTTAGTCTCAATAGATAGTACCTAGTATTAGTTCGCATAAATGTTGATGATGTAGCTTTTCTAGTTGTTTATTTCTTGATGAATCTTGATTGTATCATACTTTTCAGTATTTTATTTTTTTATACCCTCTCAGCACACAGAAGCATTCAGGATTTCTACTGATTTATCTGCTAAATTACTCGCTCCGTTTCTTTGGGTTCTTTGAGCTTCCGAAATCTTGCTCAGTTTATTTTTGAGCATTTCCAAAACACTTCGGTGCTCAGTGCTTCAATGTTTTTTTTTGCTATAGATCATTTGATTATTTTCATTTTCATATTTTCTTTCACTGTGCAGTTTTGATCATCTTTCCATTAGCGTGAATTTTCCCTTGAATGATATTCTTTGATGGACTTGATCGATTTCTGATGAAAGTCATAAATATGTACGACTTTCTGAGTATTGGTTCTGTGTCTGTGAGCTCATATATTCAAGTTTTTTCCAGGGCCATTTACATAACGTTTTTACCGAATTCAGAAATTTTGGAATATATCGTAGTGAATTACAATACTCTTGAAGCACATCTCAGTGTTGACTAACAGCAGTACCAAATTGAAACTATCTACTCAAGCACTTATTAGAGGTTATTAGATACGGTATTTTTAGAGTAGCTCTGTTCTTCCAAACCAGTACCCCAAATGTAATAAGGTTTCTGATTTTCATCTTAGAAAGATCTCATTTTTCAAGATGGGATCTAAATAGCTGTTATTCTATAGATTTAGAGCTTGCTAGTTCACATTTATCAAGTATAAAATTTCATTTTTAAGTGTGACAGCCATTTTTCCTGAAATTTTAAAAGATCCGCTGTTCCTTTAAGTATTGCAGTTTCTCTAATTTATTGAGGGATTCCCAATAATTTCAACTCTTGTGTAACCATCATAAAGCAAGGTGCAGTACTGTTCAATTAATGATAATAATGCATTAGGAAAGATATTAGATATGCAAATATTTTCAACCGAGAACTTTCAACTTATCTTGATTTTCTAAAAAAGCAAGTCAATAAGAAAAATTATGTATTCAAAAATAAAAACCTGAATATAATTTTGAAATGCATATTGCATCTGTCCGAAACTCAATAATTGATCAAATATTTCACATTACAATATAAGACACCTCAAATCTAAATTTGAAATTGCCATTAATGATGACGAATAAACTATGAAACTATTTATAGACTTCTTTCATGAATTGTTTTTTGAATATCTTCTTCTACCACTTTGATTTACAATAAATTAGTATTGGAATATTATCTGGAAAAATGAATTTGTATCCATAATGAAAGGTTTCCTCTAAAGTAAATCGATATTGATAAAGAATTTGTTATGTAAATAGTTGAGAAATTGTAATATCATTGTTTTCATATCAGCGAAAGTAAGTCAAAAATCTAGATCATATCAACGTGTTGTTATTGATTTTAAACCGGTTCACATTCTTCACTATGGGTTACATTTGGAAAAATAAAAGTATCACACAATTATATAATTTTCAGTGTGTTCGTGCTTTCTTATTATTACTTGTTTCAGTTTGATGAAAGTCTTACAGAATTATTGACTTGAAACAACCAACATCATCTTGCTGTGAAAAAACGAAAATATCAGTAACTCCTGTGAGTCAAAGTAACTAGATTTGTTTTAGGAATTATTTATGAGTGAGACATTTTTTAACTTTAAAATTGAGTCCGAAATTGGAAGAGAGTCTTATGAAGAAATTCAATTTTGCTTGTAGTCATTTCATATTGACTTCTTCTAATTCGAATCTGAAAGAAAATTCTGCAAATGAGCTACGCCCCTTTTTAGAAGTGTTTTTATTATTCAGTTAATTAGAGCCCTGAAGAAAAATAATTCAATCATATTCGAAACGTTAACAAGAAAACAATTGTGTTTTTCAGAAAAAATTGATCCTGTTATAAACCAATCTTTCTTCAGTTTCTATTGTTATTTGTTATTTTTTGCTTTTCTCAGATTTTTTCACTCTTTGGATTTTATTAGAGAAGTAGAAAGCCAAAACGGATTTTTCCCAATATACAACCTTTACAAGTTTAATGTATACAGTTTCGATTTACGAAATATTTGTAATGGACTTTTGATTTACAACATAAATAAAAAACTGTAGTTTCCAAAAATCACCATATCTTGTTCATGGCACTTAAAGAAAGTCAAATTTGAATAATGAGATCGTTAATCGTTCTTAAAATATTGCAACTGCTTACAAATTAACCACAAGTTTCGCCGATAATGAATTCATTCATTCTTGTGAAATTTCCACGCTTTAATGTTGTCATTTCAATGTGTAAAATTCTTTTGTGAATATGCTGTGGATTTTTTATACCTACAGTTCAGAACGTGTCTTCGCAAGACTATTTAAAAAATCAACAGAAGGATGTTATGAGACGGATCTTTCTCCCATTAAGGATATGCGGTGACACGCAGATATATTAGCAGAAGAATATTACAGGTTGAGAAATGCCAGTAACGTGCAACAATTGATTGGTGTTGTAGCCTTCGTTTCTACCTTGTAACAATAAGTCATGCTATACTCATTCATTATTTTATTTTCTTTCCACTCAGACTATCAAATGTACTAGCCGGTTTTTGGCATTGGTGCACTAGCTATTTTTTTCTAGTGTCACTGTTTTTCGAGTTTGAAAGCCGTGGATTTTTGGAATTTCTTCCTGACGTTTCGCTGGCGCGAGTGGCTAGCTTCTTCAGAAGTTTAATCATCATGGCTTATTGTCCGATGACTAACTTTTAGGCTTCGTAAAGCGTATTTATACCTTGTCAGGTAATCAGTTGTATACAGGTACCAATACTCGAAAAACAGTGACACTGAGAACCTCAGCCGCGAAAGTCTAAACCATTTTGTATTTTTTTCTACTTTCGATTTTTCCGAAAATAAAACCAATTTCGGAATGGAACACCCTGGATATATTTCTCAATTCCTGGTAATTTTCTTAATCCAATTTGGTCGATTCACTCTAAAGGACCGTTATCACTATGAATGTTAATCACTGACATTTTTATGTGGATAAATGAAGAAAAAGAATTGAAAAAGAGGATGGAAAAATTGCTGTCCGAATTATTCAGTTTCCATTATTTCTATTTGAGACAAAACAATAGATATAATTGTTTAGGAGTTTGGTATAATTGGTGGAGTTTGGTATAATTGGTGGAGTTTTTTCCCAACACCAAATCGTTATTTTTGACACCTCGACTCGTGTTTCGATCACCAAGTGATCATCTTCAAAGAGGAAGATTACAACTCGTTTTAAGATTGTAATCTTCCTCTGTTAAAAATAACGATTTGGTGTTGGGAAAAAAAACTCCAGTAATATTCATTACTACACCAAAGGTTCCAAACAGTGCATCATAAATTCAAAAATTAGTTTATTTAGAAACTAATCTGAGATAGGATTAGTAAAATATTTGTTTCAAAGTGTATTAGATCTCAAAAGATCAGAATTTTCAAGTTAGAAGTTAGAAAGTATTTACAGTAAGCAGATTTTTGTAATTCTGATTAATGTTCTTTTATTTTTATTAGTGTTTGTGAATGTCTGCTCAATGTAAATACTTTTTAACTTTTCCAACATTAATAATTGGATTCTGTACTTACATCATTTCAACAAAGTTATTCTGGAACTTTCATTTATTTTTGATATTCTTGGTGTGATTTGCCTTCCTTGGCCGCTGATGGTTCCAAATGGAATGACCTCCGTTCAAAATGGAATGACCTCACCACTGAGGGTTAGATCGTCCAATTTTCTCCTCCTGGTGAAGGGGATTATCACAGTTTTGCTGGGGTTGACAGACATCTGCTCCTTCAGACACCAAATGTGAACAACATCTATCATGCTTTGGAGGATATTACAAGCTACCCTACTCGACGTGGACCTTGCCAAAATGACAAGGTCATCTGCATAAGCTTGCAGATCCACTTTTCTTCTGTCGAGGGCATCAAGCAGACTATCCATCAGGAGTGACCACAGAAGGGGAGATAGTACCCCATCTTAAGGGCAGACTTTGGTGACCCTGAACCTAATGGCTTCGCCTTAAAGAGTCGTAGTTGCAGTTCTGTTCACCAGCATGGCATAGATGTAGCCAGTTACGGTCGATTCTGTACATTTCCTAGCCAGAGATGATCCCATAGATTTCGGTAGAGCATTGTCAAATGTTCCTTCAATATCGAGATATACATCGATCGCAATCTCTTTGTTGTCAAGGATTGGAAGATTTTCTCTACAAGGTTGTTCAATGCTGAATCTGTCGATTAGCGGGTTTCATGAGCATACATAATCTTTTACAAAATTCCACCGTTGAGTCCAATATATTTATTGCACACTATATCATCATTTTCGTTGTTGACAGAAAAGAATCAGCTTTACTCAGTAGATTTTTTTGCAGATGAGGATAGCGTGCTTGGTGTTAGCCGCGTGCGCATGCGCTTTAGCTGATCCAGCCATAAACGAAATCAGGCCCGTCTCCAACAGACCCGGAAGATTCCTTTCACTGCCAAATCCACAGAAATGTGCGAATAGTAAGTACCTCAAACAAATCGTGAATCTTTTCAAAAAATTTTTAGAATCGTAATATACAGGGTGTTTCATTGGGAAACGCGCATACAGATAGATAAAGGGCACCCATACGGTTCTGCATAACCAATATTTAATGGGTCTCACATTTTTTATGACCCTGATACAAGGTGATTCATCAGTTTTGCTCAATTATTCAGTTCTTCACGCCTTTAGGATCACACTGTACCTTTTTTTCATATTCAGTACAAATAAACTTCGTGCAATATTATGCTTATTAGCGAATAAATAAAAATTGAAATCCAGGTCCGGACTTAAAAAAATTAAAGAATATGATTCACTTGAAAATAACATCCTGTATCTCCATATTTTCATGAATATTGTAGAAACATCCAAAAGAAGGAAGAAATTCAAAATAATCATACATTACTTTCAAGTTACTTTCAGATACAAACTGGAAAAACTGCATTTTTGAAAAGAGCAAATAAGTTAAATTACGTCAAGTGTCTTCGGTATTTCCGCAAATGATTTTATTACCTATCATTTTGTATTTTTCCCTGGCTAAATAATATCTCAGTTGCAATCGATGAATGTTTTGAGTCATAATTTTGAAACTGAACGTATTTGCGAAACAAAACACTACTTTCAATGACTAACTTACGAACACCATGTATGTGTCTCAATATCCGCTCATAGTCGACTGGGTTAAAGTCGGGCGATCTTGCGGGCCAGATATGAGGTTTATCCCTGTCAATCCAATGATTTGGAAAGTTGTGATTTAAACAATATTTTATTATTGCCTTGCTACGAGGTGGAGGCCCATCGCATCGAAAATACATCCCTTCCACATAAATACTTGCATCGTCAAGCAAAACGGGTAAAATATTTTGTGAAAAGTCCATAATCTGATTAAGTTTATTTTTCCGTTTTGCTCGAAGATGCAGATATTGTTACAATGGAGTCAAATTGATTGGTAAAAAAATTGTATGCGGAAATATCAAAGACATTTAAATTAACAAACTTTTCTTGTTCTTAAAGTGGTAGATGAAGTTTCAAAATTCTCTTGTTTTAGAGTATTGTCTTGAAATGAAACATATTTGTTACTTTTTCAAGTCCAGACCTGATTGAAATGTTCAATTCTACACTATTTGGCAGGATATTGGACGAAGAATTCATGTAGTGAAAATGACAAGCCGTTAGGTAAAGCATGAATAAATAAAAAATCGAGCAAAATTGATGATTCACTCTATATTTTGGTTATAAAGAATACAAGACCCATTAGGTGACTATAATTAATTTAGAACCGTATAAGTGTCATTCATCTACCCATACACGTATACATATTTCCCAAAAAAACACCCTGTATATTGGAAGTGAAAGTGTAAGTAGGAAATGAAAATAATTACGATTATAAATTGAAAAAGATTATCTTTTTCAATGTCGAACTAATTAATAAAATGTCCCAATTCCCAAAGGCCCACTTCATATTTACAAAAAGGCTGTTAAAATTATTAATTAGGAATCTCTCAACATGGAATTGGCGACTGGGATGCTGTAACCTTTTCGATTAGCCTTATGTAACATAAATAATTTAATGATTACGTTAATGGATTTTCAATGTTTTTGGATTTTTGAATGCAAGATATTGGTTTCTGTTTAGGTATGCGTATAGTTTCGATATCTATTATATAAATTCACGTTTCTAGAAAAGGCACAATCAGCTCTCCTCTTTATATAATTTGTCAGTTTCAGCTATGAGGTTAATTCAAAAGTTTTATCCATTTTTATGAGTGTACTTTAAACTGTAATATCTCACTGAATACTTACTCAATTTAATCGAAATATTGGGAATTGCCTGAAAGACCAGTAAGCACAGATTATTTCAATGAAAAACCTTCCTTGGAAAAAAATATCCCCCGATCAAAATTTGATTGCTCCTGTTAACGATTGTTGTTAATTTGGAATGCTTATACGCAACGGAGCCAAGCAAACCACATAGAAAGTTCCATCTTCGACAATTACCATTTTTTTCTTGACTCTTGTTGGGTATTCATTTTATTACCAGCGGCAATAAAAATCCACATATTCGAATACTAACACATTTTTCGAAGAAATGGTGATGCTAATTATCATCATAAAATGGTCTAAAATAACTCTGAAAAACCATCTTGGCCTGTGTATATCTGAAACAGTCATGCAGGTTAGACAAAACTGAAGAAAGAGGAGGGTGACCAATTCTGGGTGCAAAACCTTAATCATTCGAAGTCTATGATACTAGGCATTCCTTCCAAAGTAGTTGCTTAGTGTAAGGATGACTCATGTCATTAACCTGAGCATTATATGCATAACATAGCAATGTAACCGCAGTGATTGACAATTCTCTCAATTAAATCACCAAATGGTTCAAAGTCATCCTGGAATGGGGCTAAGCAACTCTTATTTGGCCTCTACCTTGACATTTCCACAACACGGTAAAGATTGCCAATTGTCATAATAAAACCTTCACCATTTTGCTAAGCTATTTTGCTTTTACAGAACCAGATATTTCAAAGTCATCTTTGGAACGGCCTATGCAACCCCTCATCTTGCCTCTAACTCGTCATTTCCCGATGAAATTCATATCATCGAATTAGCTTTGCGGTAACTACTTTTTCGTGTGATTTTTTCACAGTCTATGGCAAAGTTTTTGTCTTGAAACTTGAAATCACATAATACATTCATTAGGCCCATTGCTAACACGTGTTATAGGGAATCCCATGTAGTCACATCTACCAATACTATATAGTCCAAGTAATGACTTCTAGCAGATCTACATAAATAGCAGAATATCTATCCCTGCAGGCCAGTTTAAACACAAGGACAGACCATGTTGCTTGGCAGCCTGGGAAGATTTAAATTTGTGCTTTGCTGAACATTTCATGAATATCAACTCTTATAAATTTGAAAGGTTGATTCTGAATATTTCAGATGGTCTAAACCTAGGCACTGTGACTTCCATACCAATCAACCTAGTTGTGGTTTATCGCATCTTAGTTTTTTCTGTATCTGTATCTGTAGAGTAGGGAGGGTGAGTGTAGACCCACACCACCCTAAGTGTACCCTAAGTGTACCACTTAGCCCACATGTGGCCTAAGTGGTACATTGTACATCCTCCCGTGGAGTTGTCCTCCTAGGTCATCGTCCATCCTGTCCTTTCCAGGAAGGTGGACAGGTCACTAGGATACATCTCCTTTATATCGGCAGGTAAAGGCCAAGACTCGCCGAACACAAACTCTCTTTGGCAACCTTGAGGTGTCTCACAGCGGCCTTCGTGAAGGTTTTGGAAGGTACAGCGACATGACTGTCGTTGCGCGGCTTCTTCAACCTTCTTGGGGTTCCCTCCCTGGAGATGCTCAAGTAATGGCGCTTTCCTGCAATGGTAGCTGGTTCCTTGCCTTTCTTCAAGGCGGAGCATTTGGCGCCCGCCGCAAGAAGTGCCCTTGCTGTTGGAGGTGGAGTGGGGGAGGAGGAGGGTGCACTTATAGTTGCTGCCACTCCTGCCTCTCTCGCTGTCTTTCTCCTTTTGGCCTCGGCGCCGCAAATGCGCCTATGCCTTGGCCTTTGTACTACATTACGAGGTGATCTGCTATGTCCAGCCTCATTTCGAGCGGTAAATTGAAGTGGACATTACTGTTCATCCCCAGCAACCGCCATAGATTGAGGTGAGCATTTCTGTCCACCCTCGGGATTGGTTTTTGTTTTTTCTGTGTCTGTTTTTGTATTTGTTTCATTCGTTTGTGTTCCCACGAGTAGCAGGGGAAGAGTTGGTCACTCTAGCAGAGCCCCCGCATTACCAGAGAAGGCTGATTACAATGAAGTTTCGCTCGGTTCCCCAAGGGGATCGTTCATAACCGCATATCACCCTGCGGCCATTCAGCTGTCGTCATGATTCCTTACGCCTTAGCTTGGGTAGGCTGGTCCAGAGTGGCATGTTTCGCAAAGGCTTTTGGGAAGTTTTGGTTCCTCTCACCGTACTTATTTCTGCCACTGACCAGGAGCCCGGCGACCCCGTCCGTAAGGCCACATGGGCTTCCCGGACAGGACCCCCAGTCCCCTGGCCGTTCCTCTATCAGCCACCTGGGAACGCGCCCGATAGGTAGCCCAACCCAGGGGATCTTACTTTTTTATTATCACATCATAACGAAGTCGAAATTCTGGCGTAATTATTTTTGAAAATAAGGTCCATACAGCATACATCCATATATAGATGTAGTATGTAATGGATTATTTAGAATTAACTCTAGGACTTCAGAAGCTACGTAAAAAGATATCAGTGATTTTCGGACTAATAAATTGCAATAACCTTGAGTTTGATGATAAAGATGTATTAATAGATAGGGAAAAAGTGTTAATAGACACCAATGTCTGGGCAGTTTTAGTAGATTATATCGCCAGATTATTTATTTTTTTGTAAAATGTTGCCATTTCATTCGGACTCATACCAGCCGAAAAAAACAGTTTCTGCTTCATTTGGAGCCGGTTCCCCCTTTGCAGTCCAGTGTTTGGACTTTATTCGGCGCCAAAACTCGGATTTATTGCGCCCAAACTTCGATAACTGAGTGTTGGAAATGTTCAATCGAACACGTTTTGTCTAACGTGAGCAAATGCGGCACTTAACTGGCGGACAGCTTTGTCATGCCTGAATGTTGATTCAATATGTGACAAATACATTCTTTTGGCATATTCATAACCCCTGCTATCTCTCTCACTTTTATTCGGCGGTCGTCTTAGCACCATTTGGCGAATTTTGACGGTGTTTTTATCGCTAGTAGCAGTTTTTGGACGTCCCGAACGTTCATCGTTTCACAAGCTCTTACGGACACGTTCAAATTCAACTGTCCAAAATTTCACTGAGGTAGATGATGGTGAGGAGTCCCCATACACAGAATCCATTTATGTAGACGTATTGCCTTTCAAAAACAAATATTTAATGACAGCTTGACACTCGATTTTGTCCGTTTCAACT